GGTAGAGGGGGGTGGGACAGGGAGCATGGAGCAGGGAAGGACCAGCCAGGGCTTATTGCAGCAGCAATTAGGCTCGCTGAGAGCCGAGACTTAGCACATTGGAGGCCTAATCCTGCCTGAGCAGCATCTGCAAATCTTTTATTTGGGCCGTGCAGTGCTGGCACTGGATGCCTGCAATCATTTTTTTTGTGTGTGTGCTGCCTGCATGCAGATGGCCTGGCTTTTCGCCTCGCGCTGGGTAGTGCACTGCGAAGGCAAGCATGTCACTGCCACAGCCTGCTGCAAGGGGGAACACCACGGCCCTGGCCCGGTGCAGGAGGCCAGCAGCTCTCCTGGTAGAGCCTGGTGGGCTCCCAGCTCTCACCTCACACTGTGAAGGGGGAGTCATGGGGAGGGCTGCTGCCTTGAGGTGCTTCCTCAAGCAGCACCCGGGAAGCCGAGTGAAGGGAGGTGGTGGTGGGTAACAGTGACAGCCCAAGGTGCAGTTCCTAGTTGCCACCAGGGTTTGGTGGGGCAATCCTCAGAGCAGGAACAGTCACTTGGTTCTTAGCTTCCTGCGCTAAGCCTGGCAGGGAAGTGCTTGCTGTGCTCCATGTGTCCCTGTGGCTGCAGCGGCAGTAAGAGTATGGCAGCACATTCTTACTGTTGCTTCAGATTTGATCCATCCTGAGATCAGGTGCAGTCTAACCCAGCCATGGCTCCTGCCAGTGCCAGTTCAGGCCAGGGCTGGTCACGACAGTGTGGCAGAAGACACCCTCACTTCTGGGAATGGCTGCCACCTGCTGACATCTCCATTCCTGCGGTGGAGTTGCCCAGGTGAGGCCCAGCAGCCATCTGTGACTGCACCGGGGCCTGGCTGGTATGAGATTTGCTCTGCAAGGGACCCTGGGGGGTCTCTCAGCCACAACAGCTGGATTTACTTAGGAGGAAGGCCCCTCTGATGCAGCGCGGGTAGGAAGAACCAGTAACACCATGATCCCACTGTCAGCAGCCAGTGCTGCCGCACCCGGGCACCCCTAGATCTTTGGCAGTGCCATATGGACAGCACTGGTCAGGGACTTAACTGATCTGCTAAACCAACCATGGAAGAAAGGGCCGAGGGAAGCGAAAAGGGCATGAAATGAGACTATTTTGGCATGTCTCTCACCTTTTGTGGGATTGGAGGCTGACGGACAGGTCTGCAAGCCTGGGGGTTACAAGGAGGTGGTGGGGGTGTCCTGGTGTTGGGCAGGATAGGTCAGAACAGGGAAGGCTGCAGGGCTGCATTCACGGAAGCATCTTCATGGTGCCGTGTCTGCACAGCTCAGTGACACTGGTTTCTAACTGGCATTTTGCCTCGGCCGGTCCTCCCGGGGCACCGGCCCTGTGTTCAGGCCGGGAGGTTGGGAAGGGAGCGTGAGCGTTTCTCAAGTGCTCCCTCATGTGGAGCTGGGCGACGGGACACAGCGGGCAGCTGAGGGAAGGGGGAGTGCTAGAAGGAGCCTGAGATGGAGCTGGAAGCCTCACTCCTCCCCCTCAGTTCAACAGACCCCTGGCTGCCTGCGGGGCGACATGCAGGGGCGTCTGGATGCAGAATTAAAGAATCCTATGGAGGTTTGTTCTTCATTACTTGCTTTTTGGTTTACCAACAGGCATTGGGTACAAGCAGCTGTTTCCCCAGGGCAAGCCAGACTCTGGCAGAGGGCAAAGGCACTGACCAGGGAGGCTCTGTCTTCCTCCAGCCTGCTCCTTTCCAAGGAGTTCAGCACTAACTACTGTTTTAGGTAACTTCCGAAATGCAGATAAAGAAACTACGTTTAGGAAGGAGACATTGTTATTTATTGCAGGTTTGTGCAAAGCTGGGTGCTTGGTGCCCTCCCACAAATCAAGCACACCAAACCAGGTTTTTCATGATGTGTTTATACACAAAACTATAGAGTCAGTAAGTTTCCGAGTCCATTCTCCTTCTACTGATTGGTTAGTCATTTACATATAGTTACATCACTTTTTCTGCTATCACACCTGCTCAGGGGAAGGGTCTTCATCTGGGCAAGGGTCTTTTTGATGTCAAGGTGTGATTTTTAGTATAATAATGACATTATAATAAGTGAAGCTTACCTAAAGGACACAGTATCACAACTTCTACCTCTTCAACTGCCCAAGACTGGTTTAGCTGTCAATCTTCTTGATTTTGTTTCTTCTTTATCACCTCCTGCATTCATTAGGTCCAATTATCTGTAGAGACCTTAAGACTTCTCTGCCAAGTTGGTGATTTTCATGAGACAGTTTCTAAACCTCTTGATTAATTGCCTTCTTCAAGGCGCAGTTACTGCAGGACGTCCTTGCTCAGTGCTGTGGTACTAATTGTGTGCCTCTCTGACTGCAATTTTAGTACACCTTACACAAAATAACCACATCATTCTAAATTTCTGAGTTATTTTTCAACACCACCAACACAAATTTTAGGAACACAGAGTTGTTTTCAGACTCTAACGTTAGGAAGATAATAGTTTGTTTTGGCCACAATGAGAAAAACTTAATTAAACTTTATGGCAACTGAGGAGAAGAGTAAGATATCTGGGCACTCCAAGGACACTTGGGGTGATTTATGGTCCAAGAAACTGAGGTGCTTCATTAAGCTTCATTCATAGTAAGTGGGGAAGGTGAGATATCTGAACCTTCTAAGGTACATGGAGCAGGATTTATGCCCCAAGATAAGACAGAACAAAGCCAC